AAACCAATTAAGAAAAGCGAGATTGCCAGTAGACTTTAGATATGTTATGCAGATGTCTGGGAATTTTGGACCTCCCTAATAAAATGATCTTTGGTGACTTAAATCCATTTTGAGTTATGCAAGGTCAGTGAGCAAGGACAAGATCTGACATGGATTTAAATGGGTCCTTTGTTGTCAGGCTCTATTAGTTTTGTTTTACCCGCTCTCTCATGGAAGGTTTGTAGTTGTTGATCTCTTTGATGTCCAATAGTCCGCCTGTTATTTTGTTGCTCTTTCCAGATATTTAAGTTATACAATTGCCAAATATCTGATGAATCTTAAAAAGAAATTCATTCCATGTCATATTTTGCTGCACTTTTCATTTTGCCTCACTTTAGATAGATGTCATTTTCTTGAGTAGACATTCTGATTTTTGCCCCCACACATTGAAGTAGAAATGCCCTTTGATTCAACTTGAAGTTTTTCTTTTAATATGTATTTAAGCTAGTGAATGAAGCTTCTACCTTGCCCATTTATGCAATTACTTCGTTTTGGATATCCCTGTTGAGCAGTGCATTACTGCCCAAGTATGTAAATTGAACAATTTTTTTGTATTCCTTGGCTTTGTAATGCCCTGTTAGAGCTATAAGGGTTTGCCTTTTTCTTAATTAGCAGCATCCTCTTGGGATGCTAGCCAGTGGTTTCCTCTTTTTCTGCATAATCAGTAAGCTGTCACTTAAAGCTATGTCATGAGCAAAATTTTAGGTTCTACAAAGATGTTGTTAAATTAAGCTTATTATCCATCTATGCTTCCTTTTAAGAAGTGAAAGCTAATGCCACATGGAAGAAATGAGGGAATGCCTTCTAGATGGATACTAATATTATAGCCAAACGGTTCACTTTGGCCTGTATTTGTGTTAACGTCGTACCTGCACATGGATATAGAGCCCTAATTATGTTGATGACTTCTGCTGGCTTATCATAAACCTATTAGATATCCGAAAGCGATCACAACTGCTTTCTTAGAATCTAGGCAATTGGTGGGTGGTTTTTGGCTTTGGGTGACATCTTTAGTGATTGCTTGGGTAGAAATATGGTCAACACATAATCTTTCAATTTGAACTCCAGTCTGTTCTTCACCAGAATGGCATCTCTTAGCAGTAGTTAATGGGATAGTGCAAAGATCACTTTTCACCAAAAGACATGTAATGTTTGACCAGTTACTATGTTTGCTGAAGAACATTGTCTTCGTTAGTCAGGAAGCTGTTTCTGGTCCTGAGTTTTTTGACAAGGTTGGTGCTTTTTATTGATAACTCTACAAAGCCTTCCAAATTGCCGAATTTTTGTGATTTAAAATTTTGGGGGTATTTTCATTTTGTCTTTAGGAGGGCTGGCTGTCATTGAATTTTTTTGTCTTAGGATATTTTTTTTGTGATGGGAGATGTCACATTTTCCACTTTGATGTATGTAATTCTATATTTGGAGTTCATCATATCGATTTTCCATACCTACTGAGTGTATACTTTGGAGTGTTGGCTCCTTAGCTCTATTTGGAAAGGAATCTGTACCACAGCAAGCCGGGGAGGGGTAGAGAGCTGAGTCCACCTCATCCAAGAGGCAATTTCCCTCACAGATTCTACTGCTTCATTTCTTGTCCACAGAATCACTGAATGGTTGAGGTTGGAAGGGATCCCTACAGATCATCTAGTCCACCCCCCTGTTCCAGTAGAGACACCTAGAACATGTGGCACAGAGTGACATCCAGACAGGTTTGGAAGATCTCCGAAGAAGGAGACTCCACAACCTCTCTGGGCAGCCTGTTCCAGGGCTCTGTCACTCTCGCAGTAAAGAAGTTCTTCCTCGCATGGAGGTGGAACTTCCTGTCTTTGGACTTGTACCCATTACCCCTTGGCCTGTCACTGGCCACCATGGAGAAGAGTTTGGCCCCATCCTCCCTACATTCTCCCTCGAGTACTTGTACATGTTGATCAGATCTCCTCTCAATTTTTTCTTCTTAGGCTAAACAGGCCCAGCTCCCTCAGTCTTTCCTCACACCACAGATTCTCCAGACCCTTAATCATTTTTGTTGTTCTCTGCTGGGCCCTCTCTAGAAGCTCCATGTTCCCCTTGTACTTGGAAGCCCAGAGCTGAACCCAGTACTCCAGTTCATCTTTACCCATGCTTTATGGCACAGCTCTTCAAAATATCTGAATACAGGTGCTGCAAAGCAGACTGAAGTAACCTCTATCTTGTTTTGTCAATGAGAGTGTCTTCAAGATACAGTTCAGGTACCTTGTACTCAAGTATCAAGTGTCACTTCTTTTTTTTTTAACACATATTTGTGAACCACTGTTTAGGGAAGGGAGGAAAAAAGAGAGAAATATTTCTTTTTTTCATGTGATTTCACAGCCCCAGTGTGAGAGAGTCCCGTTTGGGTTAGCAGGGAACCTGGCGGCATTTTTCCGGGATGGCGTCATGTGTTTCACATCCTGCACTAAACCACATGCACGCACATCCACGAGACAAGGTTGTAAAAGGAGTGCGACTGGGGAGCTGTGCTCGTGACACATGATAGGAGTAATGTGGGCACTGCTCTTTCAAAGCAACTGTGGTTATTCTATACTATGTCAACAGAAGTCACTTTTGCCATATGGAAACCTAATTACTTCAGAACGATCTGCTAGAAAGCACTTTTGAGGGATGCAGGCCCCTTAAACAAATGGGGAGAGAATATTTGTGCATTGAAATCTTTCTTAAGAAAGAGCTTTACAGTAATAGTTTTCAAAATATTAAAATATTAAAAATGAGACTTCTATTTAAAACGGAGTAAGAAAATTTATTAGGTGACAAGAAAACAGGAGTCTTATGATTTCTGTGATCTGTTAGATTATACTGAATTAAGGGCACTGGAAGGCTTTCTTTTTGCCATGGTCTTCATCAAACTTAAGTTTCTGGGAAATGATGTCGTATATAAGATGCCTTATATCAGTGAAATCCTATGATGCTAGAGATGGTTGACTAGTAGAGCTTCCATAAAATGATTTCAAGCTTTTTTGATCTTGTATTTCTTTACTGTCCAGCACTCATTTATTTATTCAAATTCAGGTGTTTGCCATTTCTGAGTATCCATCTGTCTGATGTATCGGTCATCTGCTCTGAATTGCTATCCTTGAAAGCACTTCTCTTTGCACCTATAGCCGTATATACCTAAGTGAGAAGATACCAAGCGTGTAGAAGCAGATTTCTTTGGATGTTAGGAATACTGGAGCGTGATTGTGTCGCAGGAGAAAACTCCAGGAACTCCTGGGCCCTGGCTGTTCATGCTGCCTTCCCGGCAGCCTTCTTTTAAGCAGAGGAGCACATGTTCCTGCTGCCTTGACTTGCTGGACTTGGTAGGTAGACCCTCCAGGCGTGCTGAGCCTTGCCCCTGGATGCACCTGGACCAGACTCAGCCCCTTGTCGTGTGTGATTAGCAGCAGACTGTCTAGTTGCCATCGACTCCCCAACATGGCCATGGTGGGATGGCTCCTCGGGGGATGACATTGCTCCTTCCTACGCTGCCGTCATCCGTGACTCCCAGCTCATCTTCCAAGGCAAAAGTCCAAGTTTTGGAGGAACTTTTCCCAGAACACTTCTTGTCTCTGAAATTTTTGGAAGAAAATGATGAAAGAAAATCCCTCTTATGTTGACAGGCTCGCTCAGACAGGCTGCCACGGAATTGAGCGGCTCCGTTTGATAAAAGTGGACGTTCTCTTAAGCTTACCTGTTTTTCTCCACAGTCCAATTAAATTCTCCTGCAAAGGCTGTAGGCTAGAGCAAAGATGGGCCAATGTTTCATGACTTCTTCCTCAAGATTGTAAGTCAGAGGGCAAAGTTGAAAGTGAAGCGTCTCTACTGTATGGCATGACTTTGCCTTGAGATACAGATACTCCTTAGCTTTCAAAGCAATTTGTACAATAGAAGAAATAAGATCTAAGAAATAAGTCCAGTACTAATAGATAAAAATGCCTTGGTCTGTGAGGAACTGAGCTCTTCTGCAGCTTTTATTAACTACAGGGCAACTCTTGGGAGCCTGGGGACTTAAACCCAAAAGAGAAGACATCACTGCTGAGAGAGAGGAAAAAACCCGCAAACTATAAAATACAGCTTAAAAAGATGGAGAGGGTTTCAAACTAAGGTTTAACAACTTTCCCATGCTCTGATCTTTAAGTTTTGTCCATGTCTTGAACCCCCTGTGGAAGTTTAGTTTTTTTTCTTTCTCTTTTTTCTTTTTTCATTGTTTTTTTACTTAAATTTATTTTGAAATGTTTAGAATCAATCTAAAACTGAAATCAATATGCTACCAACAATTGCCATAAGCGGATGCTTATAATAGTAAAAACAGCATACTCATACAAACAAGTAGACTGAATTTCTCCATAGTTTAGAGCTTTTTTAAAAAGCAGAGTGGAGTAACAATGTTTCATTCTTTCTTCCTTTTTTGTTGTGGATGACATCTACATTTCATGCGAGAACCTCAAATGAGAACTGAACCCTAGAGGATGTATGTGTCTGTTCCCTGCATTTGAAAATGGGCAAACAAAACGCAAGCGAGAAAATGGCTCTGATAATTATTCTGTTGTGGTCAGATTCTCATATCTGATATCAAAGTTAAGTAAATAGTAGACATGGGAAACTAACTTCGTATGTAATTTTAGGAAAGTTCAGTTCCTAGTCTAAAGTCTCTCCATTTTATATAAAATACATATAAATTCAATGCGTAATAAGTCTGTACATATATATTTTAATTCCATGAACTGGTGCAAAACATCAAGTCCCAAATCTGGAATAAGTTGCTAATAGCGTTTCAGATGAAAATTTGCGGTTAATGAGCTGTTGATTTCTTGTTCTTTTTTGTTTCGTATTCTTTCATAACAAGGCAACATATTGACATCTTTGTTATCCATCTATGAAAAAACTGCTTATTGATTTCATCATGCACATATGTAAGTGTATCTAAGTAGAGAGCTTTTGTTTTTCAGACCTTACCGGTACGGAAGATTCCCTGCAAAGCCAATGCACCTTCAGGGTCCTTTTTTGCACGAGACAACACAGCAAATTTCTTATCATGGTGCAGAGATGTAGGGGTGGATGATACCTGCCTATTTGAATCGGAAGGTTTGGGTATGTATTTATTAATGTATTGGTTGGCCTTATAAAGGATTTTTGCTTTTGTAGTTTTCTTGACCTTCAGCTGGTTTTTATCATTTTTGAGCCTTATCTGAAACATGAACAGATAAAGAAAAAAAGGGAGATAATAGGAAAATTTATCTCTGCATCCTACGCTGATCTTTTTTTCCAGCTGATTCCTCTGTGCAACTCAGGATAATTATTATCCTGCTTCCGGGTACTCTTTCAAAAGAATTGGACTATTTAGCAAATCATCATTCTAATAGCACGTATTCTTCATGTTTTTTAATCCTCTCCTTTCAATGGAAAATGTCTGACTATCTTAGCTCAAGCTTGTAATTCAGTTGAATACCATGAAATAAAGAGAAGTAACTGTTTGGTTGCTATCTGAACGTGGGTAACAGTGTTGTGATGAGAGACTTTCCAGTTTGTATGGAGGATCAGTGAACACACTGTACTGTATCAAGACACTTCTTTGTTTTGATACTCAAAAGGTCTTTTACCATCCAACTGGAGTTATGTGGGTTGCAACCAATCAGTTCCCCTTCTCTTGCAGACTTGCTCTATTTTCACTGTTATTTGTGAAGTGATTTTTTTTTTTTTAGCTTGACTATTGCTTTGTTCTGTGAGGTTTTTGTTTGTTTTTAATGAAATGAAGCTGTATTTCTCCAGGAGAAAATACCTGGCAAAGAACATAGTTTCACAGAACTGACAGTCTTGATCTCTATTCTGTTAACTGAAGCAACAAGATAACATGTTTATAATTTTGCAATTTTTTCCCCTGAATAAAAATTCAGCAAAGGTGAATTTGCTTCTTCAAAGCAATAACCCCACGTTAGAGTTTGCATAGCATTGTCAGACTGCTGCATTTCTGAGAATGGATGACCTTGGTGAAGTGATAGTTATGAAAGTAACTTTTTTCATGAATAATAAACTGTTTTTGATGTATGAAGTCTTTGTAAATTGTCAGTGATAAAGCAAATGTTTTCTGTATTAAGGAATGTTACTGTGTTCATGTTTTTGATTTAATTGATTTTTCTCTTCCTTCCTTTTATTCTATGCTGCCTGCCTTATTGTATGCAAGTATTTAATGTAGATGTACATGATGCACAGATGTTTTTTTCAAGTCATTGTACTGTCTAAAATATTCCTGAGTGTTTTGGGGTTTTTTAAGCATAATTCTACAGTAGTGGGGAGAGACGTTTTGAAAATGAAAAATTTGAAAAAGATGTTTATGACATATCATTGATTTAAAAAGTCTCAAGTCCAGTCAGACTGGTAAAATGAGACATATGCTACCCAAGCAATTATTAATTGTTATTTCTAATTGCTTGTATATAAAAAAGTCTCTTCCCTGATGTGAGCTGAAGTCTTTGAATTTAGCAAATATACTCTGAGTCTTATATCTGAATCTTATAAGTATAGCTACAAATCAAGGTATCCAACACTCCCCTCTCAGCATTTAGATTGAAGTTATATGAAGATGTTTTTCTCAGGAATGGGACCATATCAGACACTAAAACAGACACTAAATCAGACAGGTGCAGTCCCTATCTAAAAAGGTTACACCCTGTTTTTGTTAATGAGAATTTTGAGTGTTCTTAGGGGATCTATTCTGCCACACTCTAGGGACCATCAGGAGCTTTTTTTTAATGAGAATTTTGAGTGTTTTTAGAGGATCTGTTCTGCCACACTCTAGGGACCATCAGGACAAGCAGGTGAGTAGGCCTCGTCCTCTCATTTCTTGTGTCTTTGGATTATCTTTTGTGGGCTGATGCATTAATTGGAAGTGTCTCTATAGAATCTCTATTTTTGTAATTAGCAGTACGTTGGTTGTGATGGTTTTATTTGACTAAAGAAACAAATGAATGTTCAGATTTTTTTCCCCAAGGTACAACAGGAAATGAGTTGCTACTACTGCATACCTGCTTTCTTCAGGTGTCTTATGCATTTTAAGCACAAGTTTAAATACTTTGGTAGATGGCGACAAAACAAGGTAACAGGATCAAAGACATGCTTCCAAATGAATAGAAAACCAAAAAAGGCTATATATGTTATGCTCCTAATCATGATTACGCCTTGAAACATCTATAATTAAAAATTCCATTAAAGATTTTGAAAGAAGTCTCCTTAAAAAGCACTGTTTTCAAACTTTTCACTTTGCTAGATTTAATTCAGGTTTCATTTTCAGCCCAGGCAGTAACTCCCTAGATTTCAGTGGTTACTAGAAAATTGTATTTTGTTGGGATAAGAATAAATGGGTAATAGTTTGGATTTTGTGGGGATATACTGATTACATGGCAACCTGTTTGTTTATAAAACCACTTATGAAACCATCTCCAAGATGAATCTCTATCTTGATGGAGATATTTATATTATGGAGTTTGTGTGGAGAAAACTCTTGGCTAAATAATAAAAATTTTGAGATTTTTTTTTTTATGATGGCTTTGGCTAGGTGAACATAGTTAAAGTTACGAGCTCTTTGTTGGTAACTTAGTGTTTTTGGATGATTGTAGGATCTGGGAGCAATGAATATTCTGCATCTGTTCTACAACAAAGAATCCACCCGGCAAGAAAAGGGTTTGCCACGGAGTGTGCCAGCATGCTCATGTGTGTCACTTGTTTTAGGAGCACTGATATTGATGTATTCATCTTCTGTGCTTGTATGTTCTGTGACTGTGGGTATGTGTGTGCACTGGGAGACATGGACTTCTTTTGATGCAACTTACTAAGTGGAAGAGCAGACATATCTAGTGTTTTAGGGTAAAAAATAGGCTCAGATGCAAATACCTCAGCTCCCCACTCTAAAACTGTATTTGTGTGTTTAAAAAAAAAATGCTGATTGCTTAAAAATCTCTTACATATAGTGGCAAAAGATGTTTTACATCAATACTCTGAATATCTTATTTAATTTCATATTACAAGAAGGAAGTATGTTGTTTACCCCTCAGTGACACATTGACAGCTCTGTAATAGGTGGTTAAGTTTTATGTCTGGTTGCATCAGAATAAGACTTTGTCTGTCTTTCACAGCATTTTACTAAACTATCCATTACTGTTGAATATGTCTTACTGCTTTGAGGACTATAGAAGCATCCTAGATACTATTATGATTGGGTTATCACCTTAAATCAGTGAATTCCAGTAAATGCATAGTGTTTTAAATGATCTCTAGAGCCCTTTACTAGCTATGTAACTGTTGTATTTGACATGTTAGTTGTTTTGAGACTTCTGTACCCTCTGATGCTGAATATGGGAGGGAGAAAAGAGAAACAAAGCCCCTTAGTTTAGTTATGTCATACTATAACTCTTTTGCAAGGATACATTTGGGATAAACTGAGCAGAATAGCTGCTGTCAAAGCAACTTTAGCAAGAATTGCTCTTATAAGACAGGAGGTAAGTATTAAAGAAGAAAATAAAAGGCCATAGGAGGAAAGATCTTTTTTGATTTTTTCCAAAATCTGTAGCTGTTACGATGGTAATTAGAAGTCTAGGATAGACTGAGGGGAGGAGATCCTTGAAAGGGAAAAACATGGGACTGGGTAGAGGAAAGAAGCTTTTGCCAGAGAGGAGCTGGAAAGGGTGACTGGGAATATCTGGAAAAGATGCCAAGAGCAGCAAGACAGAGCAAACAAGAAAAATTTGAGGTGACAGGATGGGAGGAAAGGATCTGTAACTGTCAAGATACCTAGAATTATACCTGCTGTTTCTCAGTCTTCATATTGCCTTCTTGCCAGGCAAACATCAGTGAGATTCATTCTTCCCGTGCGCTAGATAGGCATTTTCTCCACTTAAAATTTGCTGCTATCCTACAGATAACAGTTCAGATAATTTGCCTTGGCAAGGTTTGATAGGGAAGTATAGACACTCAACAAGCTTGAAAATCTATAGGAAATGGTGTACAGAAATGACATTAACCTTGCAAAATCAAATACTCTAGAATTTTTAAAGGCTATAATTATGCCTGCCTGTACCACCGTCATTAAATCCCTTTAAATGTTATGATACATGGTATCTTTATGCAGTTGCGGATGATTGTTTGGGAATGGTACAAAATGTTGTGGAATATGACATGAAGTTTGAGTCCCATGTGTTAGAGTGTAAGCACCCAGTGGCCCAGGTCTTCCTTTCTTTTATTTTTTCATCTGGTCTCTTGTGGAGATTAATTAACATAGTCTTTTTGAAAGTCACATGAAAGCATCCAAGAGCCACATGTTAATGCTAGAAATAGTTTCCATATACAAAATGAGGAAGAAATACTACCAGAAAGCATGTATTTAAAAATCCAAATAAATAGCTCACAGATATTAATTAGAATCTCCCAGGAAAAGCTTGCTTTGCTTTACAGACTCACTGCTGGAGGCATTTGAGTTTTAGGAAAAAAATTTAAAAGCCATCTAAAAAGAAGATCCTTCAATTTTCCAAGGGACAAAGTTCTGAAAAATTGACCGAATAGCTGATGAGAAATGATTATTTGCCTCTAGCTAAAGACAAAGCATTTTCTATCTAGGTGAAGCAGTAGGAGATATTAATATTTTCCTTAAAATTTATTTTTCTACTTCCAATATTTACCTTGTCAAACTAAATACAAATTGCTGCCATTGCAGAAAATATGCTGTCTGGCAGATGTATATTTGTCTTTTAAGGCAATTGGAGTGGAGTGACTTGTCAGGTCAAAAAGTGGAGGTGGTGCCTTTTACTGAAAAGGAAATACTAATATAGACTGTAGTAAGTAATTCAGCAAGTGAGAGATGCAACTCCCACAGGAAGCTATAGAAAACCATAGCTAGAAGTGTTGGGTTTCAACCCGAGCCTATAAATCATTCATTTCGGAATGAATTTCTTCTAGTCATCAAATGAGATTTATTTCCTCCTCTCTACAATAAAATTCTACGTATGTGTGCAGTTAGAGTAGTAAAACTGAGTGCACATATATGTGGACATGCACTGAGCACCAGGGAGCTGAAGCATGGTCAGAAGGTGAGAATTTAAACTAGATTTGAGGACTACCACAGATTTTTTTTCAGTTCCATACTTGCATCATGTAACAAAATAAGTGAGTTTCACACTGCAGTAGCTCTACAATTTTTATTTCCTCTTCAATCGGATTTCTCCAAATGCTTTGCAAATATCAATGGAAGTATAATATTTTAACGTAAGAATAAAAAAGAGGAAGAAATGTTGTTTTTACCATTCTGTCGGTGAATTAAAATGTAAATTTGGGGGTAGCTTTTTGAAAGAAAGTATCAATACCAAGTTCTTTAAATTGTTGTGGACTAGCAGCAGACATCCAGTGTCTGAAAATGAACTCTCAGAAATCAAGGCACTTAAAAGTGTACATGGTAAAAGGCTGTGGTCTTACTTGCTTGTTCAAGGTAATCCTGAAAGTTTGAGACAAAAACAGGGATAGAAATCTATTCTTGTATCTCCATAGCTTTGGCTTTCACTCTTGAATGTAGCCCCCAATGGGGGTTTGGTAGCCCCAAAACTGGTGATAATCTAAATTATTGCTAGCGGGAGGTATTGCACTATTCAAAATAACCCTTGTTTTTCTCTGAGGTTCCCAATGCTGCATGCTGGTATAGTCCTCAGAAATGCTAACCTTTCCTTCTTGGAAACACTTTGTGTTGTTATCCCATGACCAGACGTTCGTTTCCACAGCTAGTTGTTGCCTGCACCGCTTCTCATCCGCTAACAACAATTCCACTGTTCCACATAATTCATTGGGTAGCGCATGAAATGTGACTAGAGTCAAGAGCTTTGCATTTGGCTTGGGTAAAAGATCTTCAGCATTAATAGAAACATTTTACCCTTCGTGCTCAGATCTTTTGGTCCTACCTGTAGATTTGTTTGCAAATATCATAACTTGATGATGATCAACTACTGCTATTCTCTTCTCCTTCCCCCCTCCAAGTTTTTTTAGATGGGTAAACATGTGAACTGGAACTCAGAAATATTTAGACAATTTTAAAATTGTATCATTTATGTTTTGGGAGATGCCTGTTTCTTACTATCAAGTTTTATTTTGATATAGTCCCAACTGCTCTAGAATCAAAGCAGCAGAATATGTTTCATGGATCATGTACTTAACAGTTAAAAAACTACTGATTACTAGTTAAGTGTTTCATGAAAATGCTGCTTTGTGGCAAGAAAGAATACTGAGAATAGCTGAATTTCCAGATCTGCATCTCTTAAATTACTAATAAGAGATGTCTGTAGGATGAAAATATTTTTCCTAGAGCTTTTTCTAGTGCTTTTTACATTTAGTTTTTTATTTCTTGTAATTTTACTTCTTGACACTATATTTGGATGAGGTTAGAGGGGAAGAAGACATGTGCTCCATGCACAGTAGTGAAAAGCATTGGGGTGGGGATTAGGTGACATCGTAGATCTGTGCAAGTCAGTTGAGACCCTTAACTCTGTGCATTCCCATCCTGGGTCCTGCAAATACAACCTAGGAGAAAGCAATGGCTTTTGGAGCTTTAACTAGTCACTGAATATCTTTTTTTCAGGTACGGCAGTTTACCTCATTTGTTGGAGTTGTGTGAGTCTAAGTAACCACAGTGTTTATACAGCAGATGGCTGAACCGTAATTTGAAAACAAATTAATTTTGCCATTTTTCTCCAATTTACACGAATGTTGACACAATTTTCAGGGGTCAAATCAATGTGAAATTATAAGAAACAAATACTTGGATATCACGAAGGCTTTCAAAACCTGAGTTTTATCCAAAACACAAAGGTTATTGTGCAATAGGAGATTTGCCTGTCCAAACAGCCACCAGTCTTTCCTCATAAGTTGATTTTGGGTTTCATTATGCGTTTTGTTAGACTTCTCTACAAAGCACTGCTTATCTTAATTCAAGAACAAATTGATCTGGGACTTGTGGTGCTTCAGAAAGAGAAATTCATACTGGGTGCACAGCTGCTCAGGAAGCTTAAACACTACAGGAGTTCTCCCCTGGTCTTATGCTAAATCCAAGCTGCGCGTGTGTGTGTGTATATACAGGAGAAAAAAGGGATTTATAAGAGCTATTTGAAAGATAAGGACGCTCTTATAGGAAGAAAAGCATTATTTTAATTTCATTTATTTTTGATATTTTAGTTTTTTCTTGCTCTGTCAGAGCTCTTGATTGTTTTTAAATAGTTATGAACTGCCTGCAAGTTGTGAAATAGCTCAATTTTTCAGTGGTTTAGACTGATATTTTCAAAGAAACTGAAGGATAATTGAATAGGAATTTCCTAAATCATTTGTATCCTGAAACTGCAATAACTTAATCTTAAATTTCGTCCTCTTTACAGATGCAAAAGGAAACCCAGCTTTAGCAGTCAAGAGTTTAGATGCTGGTAATTACGTTCTGTTTATCACCAAAATCTCTAAAATAGCTTTTATTGTAAATATTTTCCATCTTTATTTTGCTTTTCTAGTTCTCCACAAGCAGCCAAGGGAAGTGTGCCTTTGTTTGCTCGAACTTGGAAGGATTGCAGCAAGGTTGGTGAAAATATTTAAAGTATTAAAAAATATTTATGTTTTTGAAGCAGTGACTATCAAGACACTACATCAATGCATCTCAAGCTAACTTTTACACTGGTTAGGTTTAAAGATGTTGCTTGAGAAGATCTTATGGGCAGTTTGAGCAATATAAAGAAGTCTGTATTAATGCAGTTGAGGTATTTTTTGGCTGTCTTCGTATTGGAATGAAAGGCTTTTTTTTTCCTAGGTTTGCGTGGTTTTGGTTTTTTTATTATTGTCTTTCTAAAATTCCTTGAGCTGTTTCTTCCAGCAGTGGTATCTGTCTATAAACAACAGGACTTAATTAACTTATAACTTAATAAACTGATCTTTCCCTGACCTATGTAGTTTTGTCTCAAAATATATGTGGAGCTGCCCAGTTTTTCATGGAAACCACAGTTACATCTGTCCCTGAGTGTTTTGCTGTTCAAGCAATCTCATTAGTTTCAGGAGAATCCCTTTTAGTTACAATTCATGTGAGAGACCTCTCCTTATTTCTATTTTAGGACCTAATATTTTAATTTTAGAATTGAATTACAGCTAGCTGTATTTTAGGTACAACTCACTTGGGGTGTTTCCTTTTTTTTTTCTTTCTCTCTAAAATCTTGGTTCAGTCCAACATGGTCCAAAAATGATTTAGATGTAGTTCCATAAAAATATGCATTTAACCAGCCAGCATTTTGTGCAGTGAGATCTCCTTCGGTATATGAAGGAATTAAGATATAGAATCTTGCCCGTTATATTTGTCTTCATGCTTCATGTCTCAGATATTTGCTGTATGAGGCGTGAAAAAAAGTGTAGGGGGATATTATACCTTCATTTATTAAGCGGTCTATCTGGTTTTCAAAATAACAGTTTTACTGTTGTGTTTATTACATGTATTGTCTTTATAATGTAAATACATATATGCTATAATATATATATATATAAATGCTATATTTATTTTTATTTTTAGCTTAGGGGTCAAATAGCATAAGCTTGTGTGATGTAAATTTTACCAGAGCTGTGGTTAACTAGGGCTATACGTAGAAGGAAAAGAGATATTATTTTGTCTATTGCCTCCTCTGAGCATATGGAAGAACATGTTAAATTGACCTTAGTGCTGTGCTGCTCTAAGGAGCAGAGAAGAAGTCAGATGTTTTCTTGCTGTATAAAGCAAACTAGGTCTGCTAACAGTCTTCGGGTTCTGCTTTCCGGAAGAGAAGCTATAAATAGAGATCTTAAAAATCTGCTTCAATGAATATCTATGGAACCAGAAGAATAAGAGGCACTGAATAATTTATTATTCCTTTTTGTTTTCTGCTCTAGAAGCAGAAATTGGCCCGTTCACAAAAAGAAGCTAGCTCTTAGCCACTTAGTTCAATTTGCCTTACTAGATTGCCATTAGTTGTCAGAGTCTTAAAACACTCATAAGTCAATGTAATTCTCTCATATCAATGCAGATTGACTTGAGATGGGGCCATAAACTAACGAGCTTGTGGGTTGTTTAAGGGGAAGATGTATTTTTAACTCCAGCCTAGTAAATTTGAGCTCATTATAAGGGGAAATAGATATCATTTACCATCACTTTAGCTAAGCTATCATCTCCCATGAAGCCTTTTCAGCTGAATTAGAGAAAGATGCACTTGAAGGATGGACTACATGATGCATGGTAAACCAGTGTGACCTCTTGTTGGGGAAATGCCAACAACACGTGGAGGAAACGTTCACAGTGAAGTGCTGGAGCAGCTTTCCCTGTGAGGCTGGGGACCCTGCTGGAAACTTAAGTGGACAGACAAGGCCTTGCACAACTTGCTCCAAGTTTGAATTTGGCCCTCCCTTGAGGTAGGGTTTACAAGAGCTGATCTCCAGAGGTCCCTTCCAGCCTAAACTGCTCTGTTATTCTGAAAGAAATAGGTACTTAATCACGGTAGAATAGCCTGCTGGACTCTCCTGGATTTTGGTTGTTGATGAACACAAAATTCTGAGGTCATCTTGTCAACTTGGAATATATGAAATAGGCCATTGTGTGCTGCAGTGGATTTCTTGTGGGGCGGATGAGAGCATTTATGAGAGAAGGAAGGAAGAGTCACATGGGATAAAGTTGTGCTTTGGCGATACACAGCACTGTGGTGTTGAGTTGCATGTGTCCAGCATTCCTGTACAAGTTTTTAAAGTATTTTAAAGAATCATTGCAAGTGAAACGATGCGAGGGCCAAAGCAATCAGTTGCCTATGTTACGTTTTTAATGAGCACTTAATGGAAAAGTTAATTATTTGCTAATAGATGAGTATGGGCTGTCTGAGTGTGCATAGAGAGTGAAGTTATATGATGGACAACAGCTAAGTTACCTTTTCTGCAAAAACAATGAACTTACGCAGCTATTAAACTCTGGGAGGCTAAATAACCCCCAGATGACTTTGGTATGAAATTAGTCTGTTGAGCAATTTGGAAATCTTTCTGCTATTTTATTCAGTTTTTTCTTGGGGGAAAAAAAAAAAAAAAAAAAACGGGAAGTATCTCTCTTGGAAGTCTAGTGGGGATCATGTTACAGTCTGATGCTGCTTCATTTGTAGTTATGGGAAGGCAGGCTAGAAAAAAGCAGCAAAGGAAATTCTCAGCATACCTTCCAGAACAGACTTTGTACCTTTACTGCCTGACAGCCCCCTCTCTCTCTGAAGAGGTTTTTTTCTACCCTTTTAGCTTTCTCGTAACTTTGCTTCAGGTTGATGCGGCGTGTAAGGAATATATGTTTGTTTTATTCAGTTCATCGGAGAAGAAATTCAGAGTACTGAAATCACAGGGAACTGTAAAAGTCCATCGCAATGATGAAAAGTGGAGATTATGAAAAACAGCAAAAGTATTACTTAGAGTAGGGGAGCTTTAGTTGATGAGTAAGGCTGCGTGCAGGTGTAGGCTTAGAGCCCGGTGGGAATTTAATGATTTACAGCCTGTCGGCATCTGCAGACAGACAGGAAGTAAATGGATTGTATATAAGCGCTGGCTTCAGCGTTGGCTGACTTTTCCTTAGGCAGGCTGCACCAGTTAGAAGCCAATACAAGCACAGATTTGGTTCTTCGTTTTCTTCGTATTAACTTACTGGGCACTAGGGTGACTATGTTAAAATTTATCATCAAAATACAAGAGGCAATATATACGCTCATACTCTTTCTGATTTTAACATTATGTTTAACATTATGTTTAGCTTAAATTTTTGTATTTCTTTCAAAGTGCTGCTCGCTGTTTTTAGTGTACAGACCTTTAGGAAAAGTCAGCATACTTCTGCATTTGCCTTTATAGACTTTTCCTATGACAGGAGAAAATGTGGTTTCTTTTACACAAGTAGTTTGCTATGAAAACTATATGATTGCTTTTTGAAGCTGAAGCCTGGAAAAGGAGATCCCTTGATTTGTTCTTTTCTTTTTTTGTTCAATGTTGGCAAAGTAAAAAGCAGAGAGGAATTATCAATGGTTTGGAAAATAGGATGGGCTGTTGGACTCCTGACATCTTTCCAAGCTCTGTTTCTTGCTGAGATACTGACATAATCTCTGCTTCTTGCTGAGATACTGACTTAATCGTGGGCCATAAAGCTTTCAAAAGCAGGCACTGCTCTTAGAGCCTCTCTCTTACATCCTGTGTATGAGACACCGCATGCCGAAACAGCAGGTTTTAGGTGGACTACAAGAATTTTGCCACTGTAAATGGAGCCCTGAAGACTGGCAGTCATGTGTAAGGTTAAGAAAAGCATTAGCCATTCTTGAAAAATACTGGCCTTAAAAGTTTCCATTTAATTATCTGTAAACTGGGTCATTACCTGTGCCTGGGTTTATCTTATAAGTCTTTAATCCCTTTCCTTGTGGATTTCTTTGAAAACTGGGAGCAGAAGGTATAAGATATCAAGTGATTTGAAAGGGTGTTTTAAAATATAAAAGCTAATGGGTTGAACTTGTATCTAGGGAATGAAGCAGTTCTTGAGCGTTTTGTTGTTTGTGGGTTATTAATTCACCAATACATAGGTTATGAAACAGAAAAGTTGAATAGAAACTGTATTTACTGTAAATTTGAGAGATGCCATTTAGTTTCAGTCTTGGTATTAATTGCGAGTGATGGCATCAATGATTGATGTACTTCATATATTTTGTATTCCTTTATTAATGTACTTAGAATTTATGCTTTCTATATCATGCTATTGAGCAATAACAAATTCCTATCTGCCGTGTTCTGTTTAAAATATGAAATCCTTTAAAAGCCCTAGTAATTTGTTCGCATGTTTTCAAAAGGTTTGGGGTGGAGCCGCCTGGATTAATAAAGTTGGAAAAAGAGATTGAACAAGAGGAAACACTTTCAGCCCCCCTTCCATCTCCTTCACCATCACCCACAAAGTCTCCGGGGAAAAAGAGCACAGGGAAGCTGCTGGATGATGCTGTAAGTGCATAGGGAAGCCTTTCCTTCTTTATTCCTGACCACAATTATTTATGTCCGAAGTTTGGAAAAAATGTAGCATTGTGTAGGAGAATCGGCAGCTTAGGCTCGCTTTCTGTCTAGGGCCAAGTTCCCTTCTTTTTACTCCATTCCTTTTTCTTTTTTAAACCAGTTCTTATTCATCAACACCCACTTGGTGTTATGTCTGAGAGAACTGAATCAGGATTATGAGACTTGGCCCATCATGTCTGGTACAAATTGTCAACAAACACTTGTGAGTAATCTCAGCCTAATTTTTAGGCTGCAGCTCTGCACGTTTCTCACACAGTAAGAAAATTCAGCTTTATTTTTACATTGTTAGCATTGATTTTTTTTTTTATTATACTCTTTGCCCTATTCTGTGGTGCTGATTTCACTTAAAAGCCCTAGAGGGTTTTTCATTTAAAACCGCTTCATTCAGATGAAAGGGCACATGTTGCGACCACGAAGAGGTTAAACTTGGAAAGTACAAATATATTCCATAAAAAGCAGCAGTTACCATAGTAACTGCTATATTCCATGGTAGATATGCCACCTGGGAGTTACAAAGCACTTCTTGAAAAATCCATGTGCCACTTTTCAGTTACCACAAGCAGATGGAATATAATGTTTGGTCATTTTTTTTGGAGGACTTCGTATTACTTGATTCAAATTATTACGTTTTTCTTACGTTTTGTATTTCTTCCTCAACTTTCCAGAAGCTCTGCCTCATGCTTTAAGAGAATAGAGCAGGAAGGTTATGTGCAGAAGGAGGAAGGCAGTTGTGTATCATGCAGGAATATGAAGGTTGTCTCCAGCCACCTTCTTTAATTTAGAAAGCAGTGGGGATAGAGGCAGAATGGAATTCATCCAGCAAGATTCCTGACCCTCACTGCCCCAGACATTCGCAACATAAAATAGCAGCAGTGCTCATATAGTCCAGACACAAAATAAAATAGGATATGCTTCTTCGCTCTGCTTCGTTATTTGATTTCCAAATCCCACTCAATAATACCTCTGGGTCTTTTGGGGTTGGAAAGTTATGGAAGCCTCAGCAGCAGGATGGGCAGTGAAAGTCTCGGACTGAGTTTGCTTTTAGTGCACTTTGTGCGGTACTTCAGGAGACACAGGAATGCATCTTTTGCACCCTAAGCAACCTATGCTGGATTTAAGTCATCCTCTGCTGCTTCCAGTAAAGTTATTTCTATTACACCCTGACTGTCTCAATAAAACTATTGAGACAGGTTCTCCAGAAACGGAGCCTAAATCTCATTTCTTCATAGGAATCGCAGGAATCAACATCTTGAAATAATTCAATGCATTCAATTGGAGAGTAATTAATTCATCTGATACTTGAGAATCACTTTTGTTATGTGTCAAATACCCATGTGTGCCCTGTGCTACATTTAATTTAAAAATGAAATATTTTTCACAAAGATAAGCCACCTTATTTAGAAAAGCTAAGACTAATTGCCACCTATTGATCTACAAGATTCTAAACTTATTTAGATAACAATCATTTCAGAAACCATTTAAAAGCCTTGAAATTAATTAAAAAGGCTTCTTTCACTTTAGCCCTTGTGTGTAGTATGGAAAGAGAAATTTTGGTTAATTTTTAACTTCTTTCTATTTTTATTTAACATGTTTAAAGCAGATCTAAAAATTTTTCCTGCTTCTTAATAATCAGGACAACCAAAATATCTATTAGTCCTATAGCTTAGTTGGTTTTCTTTTTGCTTCCCTGAAACAGTTGGACTTACATCGGTTAGTTGTTCTGAGTTTTTTCGCAGTCTTCAGCCAGTTTATTACAGGGCCTTGGTTTGCATACTGTATCTGAAAAGGTCACAGGAATATTACCCCAAGTAGACAAACCCTTTAGGAAGTTCCTCCAGCCTTTTATGTTCTTTGCCACCAACGCACTGGCTCATCTTCCACTGAAGTGAAATGGAGTACATGGAAATGTGGTACTTGTTGTTCCTTAACAGAACTGCAGTGTGAATGTCCAGAAGGAGTTTGCTTAAGAAGATCTGCTCTTTGGCATCGATGGTTGTGCTACTTCTAGGTCAACTAAAAGTCCAGCCTTCGGTAGCTTGCAAATGGAAGTTTTTAAAGGAGGCTTCAGTAAAGCTGATGCAGCTGGAAAGAGTAGTTTTGATCTGTCTTTTCTCATCTCTTATTTTTTGGGGTGCTGCAGTCAGGTTTGGCATTGATGTAGTCTTCTAGAGAGCCTTCTTCTTTACACTTGATGCCATTAGCTCCCTAAATTGGAGATCTTCAAAGGAGACCAGCAATACTGGGGGGCATCTTGGCATGGAGCTGAATCCTTGATTGCATTTTTCTCCTTGAAACCCTTCTGAGTGGCCACGAAGTTAACTTGGACCATGGTTTGTGGTCGTATCACAGGCTTCTGCATCTATTTTCATTGAGGTGTAGGTCTTTCAAAGCAGTGCCGTTCGGATCAATGCAAGATGTGCCAAATCCTGAGTCCTCGTTCAGATCTGCCTCCTTCATAGTTCCACAAAACTCTCTTAAATTCAACAGAATTTGGCTGGGGAAAAGCTCTACAATTTTCCCTTTGAAGCAGGGTATGCAGATTAGTATCTGTCCAAGAAAAAAAGAGGGGGAGGGAGGAAAAAATCATCCAAGGGCAAACAATCAAAAATATTGAAGTGAATACTTCTTGAACTTTGTGTTAACTTTTGTTTCAACAATGACCTTATCTTCCATATCTGGCTATTGTTGTTATCTTGAATGTTATCTTTGCTTCTCTAACACTTTCTTTTTGTTTAAATTTTCAGGTTAAGCACATTTCTGAAGATCCACCTTGTAAATGCCCTAATAAATTCTGTGTGGAGCGCCTTTCACAAGGAAGATACAGAGTTGGGGAGAAGATTCTCTTTATTAGGGTAAAGGTTTTATTTTTCACTTCATAGAGAATTGCTACCACATTCTTCCTTCTACTTTGGAAATGGTATCAGTGATCAATAGGAAAAGGCCTTTCTTTCTAGCCAATGATGATTCAGGTTTTTGATGTAGTAGATCCTCCTAACTCTAAGTCACAGAGTTTACTCTGTCCTTGATCAATGATAACCAAAAGTCTTCAGGAATGGAGATGACCGTTTCCTCTCAGTCCAATTTGAAAGACCTTCCACTTCATTTTAATAACCGTTCTCCTACTTGGCATTGATATTTGATGGATCGGGAAAGAGATCCAAGACTTCATGATCCTTGCGTTGCCAAGGCACAACCAAGAGCTGTTGTCAGAGGGAGGATGAGCAAAACTGTAATGTCCATATGAATTCACTTGATGAACAGATATTTCAATATTCCAGTGTTGCATGTGTAGCTCTCACATGTAGCATATAAACTTTCATACCACAAAGTAAACTGTTAATGTAAGTATTGCTTAACGTTATCTGGTTGAATTTAGCACCACGATACCACTCAAACTTCATTTTGATCCTCTTCCTCTTTTGTATATGTGCTTACAGTGACAATCTGAAAATATTCTAATCATTTGATTTTGTAACAGGACTGGAATTTGATTCACATTGTGCTTTTCATTTACCACTATTTCCACACATGCCATCCTGGGAAAATTCTCTCTTGCTCTATGAAGAACTGTTTTCTTAAAGGCCCACAACTCTCATGTTATAAAACTGGGGATTTAGCTCTTGTATAAGAGTCCAAGGGAATCCATCCCACGTCAAGCTGCCCATTGAATAAAACCCTGGTGTGCTTGCTCTGTTATAATCCTTTGCTTAAGTTTCACTGAAGTCAAATTTAGATAAGAGTTTAGGTAATCCCTTGTGTGCAATTTTGAGAGCATGTTGAAGTACTGTGCTGAACAGACACTGCAGACTTTGAATTAATTCAGTAGTAGCTCTGAAAGAAGAAGATATATGGAATTTGTCACAAATATTTTGAGATGTAATGTGTTAATGTTAAGGATTAGTAGCTTTTCTGTTTCATAGCCAGTAGAACTGCTTTTTATGTCTGCAGTATTTGGAGGGTATTGAACCTACTAGCCTCAAACTACTTTGAAGTAGTTCATGTCCATTAACCAAAGGGCCCATACCTTCATTTCTGTATATAACTTATGGTAACTTTGTTCATTTTGTGTAAACTAGTTTCTAAATGGAAATTAGGTGCAGCTTTTCTGCTGTAGATTTAAAGCATTCTTGAACAAAATGGGTGTTTAGCAATTTGGCAGTTTGACACTTTTTGCCTTTTTTTTTCCTTTTAATTTCAAATAACAAATATCAAAGTACTCTAAATTTTGAAATTTTGGTAAACTATGGTGTTTTTTCTTTCTCCCCCCCCCCCCACCAAAATAGTGAGTGTCAAATTATTTCTTTGCTGGCTTCCTTATTGTGCAATCTAGTCCAAGTCAGATTTCCTTCCAAGTCTGCAAACAAAACACTTTTTCACATCACACCACTGCATTCCAAGTAGAACTGTGCCAAAAAATGTAACAGTAATATAGATTAGACATTAAACTACAATGTTGCAGATCTTTCTTACGACTTTGATATGAATAGAATTTTTCTATTAACTGAGATGGGAGTGAGCATATTTTCCTCTGTTTGTAAAGACAGTTGTCCTTGGTTTTGGTTGGTTGGAATCTCATTATGAAACACTCTACTAAACTGCAGTAAGTTGTCACCCTTCCTTCTGCTTATTTTTGTTTGGCACATGAATAGATTTATGGAGCTTTTCTTGGCCTCTTTTAAGTACTTTCTTGTGAGGAAACACAATAAATGGATGCATAGCTGACATGTAATTTCCTTGGTCAGCTGGCACCTTCTTCTCATGCTACTGAGAGTGTTTCTCCTACCTTATATGTTCTATATACAGCAGAATAAGGTTTTTCTGGATGTTGTCCTCAATTATGCCTCACCTGTGGAGTAACAGATTAGAGATAGTACTTCTGCAATAACCCTCTAAGTTATTACTGCTCAACCAGATATTTTCTGCTTGTTAAGAGTCCAACCTGTTCTAGTAAAATTGAGAGGTACTAAACCTATGTTGAAAAATAAAAAGGATAATAAGGTGTGAAAACTTCCACTGCATAAAAAGATGTGTTTTATAACTCGAAAGATGGAGTCACAGAGTTTGAAGTGTTTATTTCTTTCGAAAGGTAGTAAAGAAGATTTTTAGATTAATAGAGAATGCTATCGCAGGAAAGTCAGTCAGGTGAATTGAGAAAAAGGTGATTGTTCAAGCTTTAAATTTTAGTGACTGAAATACCCTTATTTCACACCACCTTACACTTAATATGATATGAACATATCACTGGGTTCTTCACAGGGCAAATATGTTGTCTTCATGGAACTGGATTCAACTTAAGTGATATAATGATTCCTGGCTTTAAAATCAATGATTCTTCTTATGATTTAAAGCACCTGGAGGCTAAATAATAAGCATGCAATCTCCCCTAAAATTTTTGACTGTGTCTTTGTGAATTGCTGGTACTGCTTAGTATTATTGTCTGGTAGTAATAATAAGTAGTAATAATCTTCAATATTCCCTCCCTTTACATCTTGGGTAATGGAAGGCATTTGTTGGTTGCTTTGGAAACTGCAGAAAGTTTCTTTTGGAGTTTTGCTGTCCAAATGTGTGGACATGTATATGTGATTACTCTGTAAACCACAATCTGGGCTATGTTATAGGCCCTTATGAGAAAAGTATGCTTATATAAATATACAAGTATAAGCTACATCCTACAGGTAGGGATGATGGACCAGGTAAGTAGTGAAAATAAGGGAAAATGGAAAGCTGATAGATTATTTTCTGGAAATCTCCCAACAGGTGGTGGCTGGACACTTCTTCACCGTGTGCCGTTTGTCTCTCCCTGCTTTCCCCTCCCTGAGTAGTTAATGCATTTCGATTTTACTTGCACACAGAATTAATCAGAAATTGCAATTTGTATTTTAAATTGCAATATATACTATACATATATATCAAATAATATATACAGTACTCTATATATAATATTCTTAAAGGGCCAGTAAAATTCAGTCTACAGCCCTATAAAGCTTTTGGGCAGGCAGCGAGATTGCACATGTGGCAGTGGAGTAACTGCAATCCAGCGCTGACTCTAGTGCAGTCAGCAGGCAGGAAGTCTGTTTTCTTCTTTACTTTGCCATTAATCTGTTGAGTGACATTAGGCAGACCCTTTTTTTCCCCCCTTGGATTAAGTTACAGCATGCTTGTTCTCATAAGTTACACGTTCTGTTCTGTTTCTTGGCTCTTGCTTTTTGCTTTATATGTGTGTATATACGTGTGTGTGTATTCACTACATTGTCTTTTGCTTGTCTTTTTGTTTTGCTTCCTGCCTTGAGCCTCATTTTGTGCAGGCTTCCCAGCCTTGCTGGAACAGAAGCCCATAGACATCTCTCTGTTTATGTTACATTTTTATGATGCTGTGTCTGTCGAGGGCGGAACAGGTACAGTTCAAATAACTGGCTCTATAAAGATGACTAGACATTTCTAGTTAAATTAAATGGCTAACAGACTTTCAATGAGGTTTAGCCAAACACATGAAGTGTTAGAAACTAAATAGTTCTCCCCCTTTCTCCCTGCCCCTTGATTTCATTTCCTATGTTTCTCCCTTGACACTTTTATTTTTTACGTGGCTTATTCATGTGAGCTTAATGTCTAAAACTTCCATTTATCAGGTATGTTTTGGAGTGCCTATTTAAGCAAAAGTGTTGCTTATAAACCTTTTCTCTACAAAAAGCAGCGTGAGTCAAGTTCTATAAATGTTAGCTTAATGCAAAAGTGATGTAATTCTTTTTACTTTCACTCAAAGGGTGTTTGTATTTGACTCGGGTGAAAATTTCCCAGCAGAAGGCATCTCCAATGCAATATTCAGATATGCTGACACTGGCAGGCTCTTCCATAGCTTCATTCCTTCTCCTGCCAATGTAGACCCCTTTGAGATGCCTCCTCCTGTATGAAGTTAAATAGTGTCATGTTTAATTTCCAGCATCTCCCTCCATGGAATATCTGTTGATGAGAACTCTTATTTGGAGAGCTGAAAAATGTTGAGCAAGTTATATTGTGCTTTTCTAGGATGTGATACGTCTTCACCAAGTGTCATATTTGAATCGTTGAGATGCTGAAATTACACTTAGGGTACCTTTCTACCAACATGTTCTGAACTTAGGCTCCTAGAGTCAAGTTATCACCTTGTTATCTTCCATATATACAGTGGGAAAACAAAATTCCCTTCTGGAAGTGGCTCAAAAGAAATAAAAAGAGTTGTGACTAATTACTGTATAAATTATCATGGGCTGAAGTCTGAGAGTCCGTTAAACTCACATAGTGAACTGTGTTTAGTATTAAAAGTTACACTCCCTTATCCTGCCTCTCCTTCCCGCAAAAAAAGCCATTATAAACTGCATTACTTCTTGCATGTATGGTCAAGATCAGCTCTTGAGTCTTACTTTATTTCCTGAGGTTTTTCTTTTAATTTCTTCTTGCCCTCGGAAGTAGCATTTATGAGCGCAAATTCACTTCCAAACTTTGTGCATCAATTAATGAATTTTCACAGGAGTTAATTTCTCAATAGTTGTATTCCTTTTGTAATGTGACACTTGAAAAGCAATGATTACTGTATGGAACTGTAACACTGGAGGCAGATCCCTAGCTCGTAAATCAGCCTCAGCTGATTCAGGATGTTTTATGGCATGTTCTTGTGTGCCTTGAATTTTTTTTTAAACCCACGAGAATGGATTTAGCTGAAGAAAAAAGATAACTCGCCAGATAATTCAAAATCAGTTTTATCAAAATAGCATTCCAGTCAGGGCCGCAAATGCTGAAATGCTTATTTAGTTCTCAGAAACACTCCATCTAGATAAACACATGCTGCAAATGGGTGATTTTCAGGTAGTGGTTGCTT